GATAGTCAGTTATAATTACTTAAAATTTCTTTTCCATTCAATGAGATAGCAGTGAACATTGATTAACTGTGATCTCTCTTTTAGAGCATGAAACATAAGCAGGATTAGTGTGAACTTTTATCTTGCTTTTGAATTAAATAGAACCATTCATATTTTATTTCACCAATACTATATATCTGATGTTGGCTATTAGTTTTAGAAATACATTCTATATCCAGAATTTTATCTGATTGAAGATTAAACAGGTATTATACATACCTATGTAAAAACCATTGAGCTGCATAGAGTGAAAGTACTTCCTTAAATATATTTATACATACTCATACATATTATAACTACATCAAAGGAAATTTTGACTAATTACACCAATAAAATGTTTTAAGTTTTCCATAAAGAAAAGGAATACTCAAGAACAGACATCAAACTTATCAACTTTTGTAACAGTCAACTGTGTTCATCATATGCATTTTATACTTTGGCTTCTTGCAGGGATTTACTATAATTATAAATCTATGGGGTGCTTACTAACATGATGATCATTTAACCTTCATAGTTAACATATTAATAGCCATCATTTTCTCCTTTACATGATAAAATTGATATTTAAAGAGTTTAAACAAGGTAAAAGTAAAAGTTTAAAAGTTTATATTTAAACCTAAGCTAACACACAACTAAGATGTCCCCATATTTTGGCATAAATCATCTTATGTATTTGGAAGAATTGCTAAGTTTTACTAGTCATAATTAAATTCAGCTGTAACAGAGTATTCAGAAATTAGTTAGAATTAGAGGAAGGGTTTCATTTATCCAACTAACTGCTAGGATATTAGAGTAAGATAATTGTCCAAATTGAAGGACACTGGTCCAACTTATTAGATTAATAACATAATCAGAATTGTAGTCACATGATCATGTTGGAGTAAAAAAAGAACTAATCATATTTATATGAATAATACATCCGGTTTTAGGAAATTATAGTTCAGGTTGATACAGGGGAATAAAACATGAGGAAATCATCAATCTTTACTAGAGAGCACTATGTCACATATTTTCTTTTCCTCAACCTGACCCTAGAAAGGCAGGTTGGACCTTGTGTATTTGATGGACTTAGTTCCATGCAGGGACTTATTGATTTAATACTCCTTATAGAAATATAAATTTGGTATGAAATGGGTCAAACTTCATTAGCTCTTGAGCAAATGATTTAACTAAATCCAATTTCCTTAGGTACAAACTAGGAATAAGAAAAAAATCATCTCATAAGAGTACTGTAACTATCAAATAAAATAATGTTTGTGAAAACGTTTAACAGTGCTCTACATAGTAGGTATTCAATATTTATTTATCTGCCTACTACATTATCTCTATTCCATTTACCTTTTGGGTGGTGAGAGACTTGGAAATTTGATAGTTGGATACTTATCTCTATAGTTGTCTCTACAGAATTTCTAGAACTCTTCCTTAATAACTGATTTTTTCACATTGCCCTACATATACTTTTCCCTTCACTTAAGTCAATTTAAAAAATTTTTTTTACATAAGTCTATCCGGCTTAAAATTATTTCAAGTGTTTTTTTGTTTGTTAAAGAAAATGTGACTCAAATTTTGTTAAGAAGCAAAAAATCAGGTCACAACGAGTTAAACTAATAAAGATGAAACTGGAAGAGGAAAATAGAAAAAGGAAAAATAAAAGCAAAATACTTTACTCAATTTAAAAATAAATCACGAGTTTACTTTATTATTATTTTAAAACAGAAGTCAGTCCTCTGCTGAAATCCTCCACGGCTTCCTCTCTCAATCAGAGTAGAATCCTATATCTTTATTGTAGTTTAAGAGTCCCAAATGATCTGGCCCACATTCTTCCATTCGATGCCTTGCCCATTCTGCTCTCCACTGCCCTCCATCATAGGCTTCTGACAATAGGACCTTTCTACTTGCTGTTCCAGTTCACAAAGGTGCTTCCCCTAGTATGCCCAATCATTCCTTTTTTTTTTTTTTTTTAAGGACTCCAAGCAAATATCCTCTTATTAGAAGAGCCTCCCAAACCACTCCAAACAAAAAGAATTTTGTTCCCTCTCTTCACCTTACTTTTCTCTATAGCTTTTGCTATATTTATCCCAAGCTGAAATATTATCTCAAGCTGAAATATTATAAATAAGTTTGTTGATGTTTTGTTTTCCTCATGACTTTTTGTTCTGTTGTGTACTCAATATTTAGAACAGTGATGACTACATAGTTTGTACTAAGGAAATCTTTAATCAGTGCATTTTTAATTCATACAGTTTGGAGAATATTATTACAATGTATTAAATTCACCCAGGAAATATTAGAAATGAGTTCCTTTATTGTAAAATATAAAATAAAATAGAATTTATACGTAAGAAATCATGATAGATGAACAGAAATTTAAAATTAGCTTAAAATACAGTGACATGTGAGAGGATTATATAACAAGAATGAATTGAAATAAACTAAACTCATCATAAGCTCTTTAAGTTTTGATTTCTTTTAATTTCAAAATTTGCCTCTGGTAATAAGAAAAATGCAGAATGCTATGATTAAGTCTTATCAGATAAAGAAGGATCAATATTAATACTACAATAAGTAGAATTTAAAAATAGAAAACTTAACATATGAAAGTGACCAGTTTCACCACTTAGTAATATATTTTCCCAAGAAAGTTCCCTTTCAACTTCATTCTACTGCCAGTCTCATTCTAATGCCAATCATCAGGTAAAAACATTTTTGTCACTACCTTGTGATAGACATAGAAGACTTTGAAAGAAACAAAGAAGAAATTAAACTGTTTCCTTAAACAGTTTCCTACATGTTAATGGATTTGGAACAATATACTCAAGCCATTTTGGACTCTGGATTGTGGTACTCGATGCTACTTAATCAGTCAGACCAGGTTAGTGGAAAGAAAATCTTGAGTCATATTGAACAGAATAGGTTTCAGAGTGCAATTACCTGGCTTTAATACTTCGTAGTTGTATGACCTTGCACAAATTATTCAATCTAACTGAATCTCATTTTCATTGTTTCACATAATTAAGGAATATATATATATATAATTCATAAGGATGTTGAAGAATTAAATGTAAGAAAAGCCCATACACTATTTATTACAGTCTCTCTTTTTATGCAGAGTAGGGCCTCATATGAATTCTTGTAAGAAATATAGACTCTCTGCCACCAAGACACACTGAATCAGAATTTTCATTTTCAACAAGTTCCCAAGGTTAAAATTTAGGAAGAACGCTTCAAGTCAATAACAGATGGAAAATGACATTACTTTATGAAGGAAATTTACTATTTACTTTCCCAGTCATACTAATATTTTATTATTTTTTGCCCTAAACTATCAATACTCTGATTTTTAAAAAACTAGACAAAATTTGGAATTTTGTTTCCCTTATCAGCTTTACAATTCTTTTAAACTAAAAGTATTATTACTACTAATTATAAATGAAATGTTAGGAATGCCAGTTTATTTTCATCATGATTTTTGCATAGCATTAGTCATCTCTCCAAGCAATCTCAAAGTTTAGGAAGAGATGCCCATTTTCAAAAGCCAGGAGATAGGGGCAAATGTGGACACTGAAATCTGTGAAGAGTAATTAGTTCCTTTGCTCTTGTCTGGCACTTAATCAGGCTTCCCTCAAATACTGTTCTACAGATCTAAATACTCAGATTAATACATTCACTCATATCATTGTGAAAACCAAAAGAAATAGATGAGAAAGTTATTAGTGCAATGTCTCATGTATAATCAGTGCTCAAACAATGTTAGTTGTTTCCTTTTCTATTTGCCTTACTATAGAACAATTATTTTTTTTAAAAATGTCCCAATTTTATGCTAGGATGTGATCATCATAGGGATAGAATTTATTTATGTATTTATGTCATAAATAAATAAGGGCCTGCCACATAAATTCTAGATGGATGCTAAATAAAGAGATAATTTCTGAATGCTAAATAGATTATTTCTAATTAGCTATTGAGAATATTTACTTAAACAAAAAGCAATTGAAAGATTCATTGATATAATTATTCAACAAATAAGTATTGTGTAGCTATTAAGTATTAGGAACTATGAAGACAAGGTAGACTCAAAAAATGGTAAGTAAAAAAGAGTCAATTATTTCTGCTTCTACTTTAAGAGTATAGATACATGTTATTTCACAAAAACATAAAATTGAATTGTTGTAAGAGGTACACAGTGAAATAGTGTGGTAGATAAAAATTAAAATCAGAACAGCTCAGCAAGTTTCTAACTTATTGACATATTTCCACTGGATTTGCCATGTCACTGCATTCTATCACAGTGCAATTTACTTTTTTTTTTTTTTTTTGTAGTTTCTCTTAAGTTGGAAAAACTCCTCGGGCAATGCTTCTGGACCACTGTTAAAATAAACCTGTTTCTGGTTGTGAAGTCTGGCTGTAAGGAGATGGAAAAAGTGCTAGTGTCTTTCTTAGCCCTCTTCTATTAATTAATTCGTTGGCACTAATTATCTTGCAAGAATAGTTCGGATACTTTGATTTTCAGAAGGAAATGAGTCCTAGAACAATTGAGTTCCATGATGTTTGTGACATGACAGAGGCTCAGATCCCTAGACAGAGTGGGGACTCATTGACATCAGTGAGCTAGGGAGCCTGGGTGACTGCATGAAGGTCATTAAAACCTTCAACAGGGAGAAGGCAGATTTCTTCAAACTGCGTTGTGATGATGTCTGATGGCGGTGGTGGGGGTGGGGGGCGCTTTACAATTTTATCTACGCTGGAACTTTCCTTATATCAACCTGAATATCCATGGCCTCCCTCTATTTATAATCTCCTTGTATAGTTAATATTACGTTAAACTTCTGGTTCTGTTTGCACCCATTGAAAGAGGGAACTGAGTACTGAATGAGGGAATTTGTCAATGGTAAAGTTCCACTGAAAAACTAGTGGGCTAAAGACAGCCAGTCCTTTGTGCGATTCCTTTCTTCACGACTTACCGGTTCCTAAAGTAGTACTGATTTCCTACAAACGACGACCGAGCCTGCAGCCGGGCTAACGTGGCCATGGCCCCTGGACCAGGGGTTTGCAACTGGCGTTACTGTCGGTTTCCCGGGCAACCGGGCGATACCACAGGCCAGTCCCGGGGGTTCCACTTTCGCTCTCTCCTCTTTTATGTCACCCTGTTTCGGATTTAAGGGCAATGCTTATAGAGAATTTTCAATTTGGGGTGTAGCAACAAAGCTTAATTTAATTGGCTCTATCTCGTTTAGGAATAAAAAGAGGCGACTGTAGGAAAGGAAAGCAGTGGGGAGGAGAATTATGGTTGCTCCGAACATCCGGTTTCCGCCTCCAGCCAGCTTCCGGAAGCTCTTCTCAAAATGCTGAACTGCTCTTTGGAAGTCTCCGGGGCTGTTGTAGTTGGAGTCTGTTCTCGGGCCTGAGCCACGAGGCCAGGCTCCTGGGTGTCGTTAATGTTCGGGGCCGCCGGGCGCCAACCGATCGGAGCTCCAGCCGCCGGGAACAGCTGGTGAGGCTGGCGGCCCCGGGAATGGGAGATCAGGAAATGTGTTGGCCAGAGGCCGCCGGACCTGGAATCCAAGGGGGAGGGAGTTGTGATGGATGATCTGAAGACTTCTAGGCCTTGCTGTCACTCATGCTTGTGATGGACGCAGTCTGAGGGAGGCATTTTGATGTGTGCTAAAGATTTGTGCAGGAACACGGTAAATGCTTGCTGATGGCTTGTCTAACACTTAGGGTATTTGGGACCGAGTTGGTCAATCTTTCCGTAATTGATCTCTCCTTGATTACTGGTAAAACCTATGGACAGGAATGCTTTATTCCCAATTCCCCTGCTAAAATTGCCAGATCATAACAAGTTTCTTGTAAGACCAAATGCCAGAAATCTATAGAGTTCTGGAAGTTTAGTAGTGAAGGAGATATCACTTTAATCCCCCACTCCCACTCTTTATGAGGGGAGTAGCCTACCCATTTTCCACTACTTTGAATATACCATTCTAGTTCAAAGGAGATGTGTATGCGTGTTGTTTGGGAACACCAATAAATTCCAGGGTTAAGGCTGGGGTTTGGTAGGTCTATAGTATTATTTCACCAGTGGCACTTTCAGAGAAAATATTGCTTTAAATTTTCAAAGTGCTTTCACAAATTACACTTTATTCTATGACAGCCTATGATACCAGAGTATCACAGGCACAGAACATTTACTTAAGTGACTTGTCCAAAGTTGCCCTGCACATTTTAGAGCTAGAAAGACATGTCTTTAGAATTTCTTGTTGAAAACTATGATTCAGTCCTGTTTTTCTTCCAAATACTTTTTTTCCTGCAAGTATACACAAAAATCAGTGAAACAGACAAGCAGACTTCTTACAATCCTCAAACATAAAAAGGTTTTACCAAACCAGTGTAAGAAATGTGAAATTAAAATACATATCCATTCATAAATGCCACAGAGGATAGAAAGACTCTGAGGAATTCTGAGTCCATGAGGGATTCTTGCAAGTCTATGATCTCAAAATTTCTTACAACTGAAAAGTTAAAAAAAAATTCTTACCAAAAGTATTTTGAGTTGGATCAGATCATTTTATATTTCATTTTATAATGAATATAGATTTGAATGAGCTACTTTAAAATTCTCATATTTACCCTGAGAATAGTAAGGGTCACTTTCAAAATGAGCTATTTTTAAATTAGTGTAATTAGCATAAAATAAAAGCGTAGTTTTAAAATACTTAATTTTATTTTGGCAGTAGTACATAGTTGTGTAACTGCTCTACAAAACAAGATAAAGGACATTTCCACCACTCCATAGTTTGTTCTGCTTGTGTGTTTCTTAATATTTCACCACTCATTTTTGTTAAGGAGGGAGATAAATGTACTATATAGATTGATCTGCTTTTACTAAGGTGATATTGATTTGTAGGGTAAGTACTGTTTAATTAAAAAATATGATCCTCTCAACTCCTTGCTGTACTTTGCAACTCCTGTCCAAATCATGGGTTGATACCTCTGTATAATATCAAGAAATGTCCTTCAGTTCTCTGTCTCTTTTTAAAATATTTTTAGTTGTAGATGGACACAATAACTTTATTTTGGTTTGTTTTTGTGGTGTTGAGGATAAAACCCAGTGCCTCATGCTTGAGAGGCAAGTGCTCTACCCCTGCGCCACAACTCCAGCCCTCCTTCAGTTCTCTTTTGATGAACCTATCCAACTTTTCTTGTTGGCATGCAACTCATCCTTTCTTATGGAACCAGAATAGAACATAGTGCCTAGTGTTTTTGAATGAAACTACCTGATTTGACAGAATGAATGTGTTACAGAAAACTAGAACTTTTATTTTCTAGTTTATGTGCACAACTGTCCAATCATTCAGTATTTCTTAATGGATTCTTTAATTAATTGAACAATCCTTATATACCATACATGTTTGTTTTATCCCAGTAATGAAATCATAGTGCTGCTGAGGTTGCTACTAACATCTCTTGTAACTCTTTTGAGGTAGGGTACATCATTCTTTGCATTTTAGATAAGGTGACACAGGAGGGAAAACAGTTTAAATAATTTACCCTAAGTGTCTCATTTGTAGTATGATTCATGTGTAGCTAAAGAAAATACCTAACCACCCAGGTGTATACTGCCTGAGTATCTGAATAACATATAGTATCTCTCAGATTTGTTAAGCAATCTGGAGTCCCTGAGGAGTAACTGAGGTACCTGAGGTAGTTAATTTCTCTTAACTTTTCTTTCTTTCTAACATTTTCTTCAATGTGGAGATTAGTTTCTTAATTTTTAGGCATTTAGTGCTTAAAGTAGATGATTTCTTTATTGAACTATGATATTCTCTTTATTTAAATTTGTTATATGGGTTTCCTTTTTTTGCTTTCTAATTTTAAGCCCTTAAAATAAACTGTATGGATTCTGGACCTTTGTTTCTGTAATTTTGTTCCTATTTGATATTTTGATTTTCTTTAGGTCTGGAAAAGTACATAGTAAAAATTGCATTTTGGTTAGCGATTTCTTTGTTTTTTGTTTTTTGGTTTTTTTTTTACTCTCAGGATTAACTTAGGATTCTCTTTCAGTTAAGGATCAAAGCAATAGCTGGTATGATTTGGGGCAAGCAATTTATTTTTTTATAGCTTCCTAGCATCCTTGTTTCTGTCTAGCTAAAAATGAAGAAACAAACAATAACAACAACAAAAAACCCAAAAGAATGCTCATTTAAATAATAAATGGTCTTGCCATATTAAATCACTAATTTGAAAAGTAGAATTAGACTTTTTTCTTTAAAAACTAATCATGATTTTTGTTTACAATAAGTTGCTAGAGTAAGAGGAAAAGAAAACTTTCTAGATGTTCACCATGTTCCCCTTGGTAGCAGCTGCCAGCAGTACCTATAATTGAATATAAGTCAATGGAGCTTTGCCCCCATTATGGGAAATGAGTTTTTCAGTTTGGTGGTGAACCTTGTGACTCTTAACCAGGGAGCATTATTTTCTTTAATCCTTTCTTTTTCATTTATATCTGTATATCAGGTCAGATATACTCCATTTTTTTTTTTTTTTTTTTTTTTTAAGTAAGGAATTTAGGGCCTCTTTTTAACATGATAGAGTCCTTAAAAGAGTCCACAAACTTTCTAAGACTATACCACAATTTTGTATACCTGTTGTCCTATAGTGCCCCAACATTTGTAATGCTTCATGGCCTCAGAAACGTCGAGGACCTTAGCTTTTCCTATGTTAGCCTCAGGATTCATGGTAAGATTGTACCTTAAAAGCAGAATGACTTGCTTTTTCAGTGACCTGTTTCTCTTATTTGAGGGTGGAGTTTGTTGAAAGGTAAAATAACTTCTTTCAACATAAAGTACTTCCTCTCATCCTCACAGAGTGCCTTCAGGGTAGAAATTGTGCTGGTTTTCATGATGAAAATATAGAAAGCAGAAGGTAATTGTTCAAGGTGTTGTTGCTAATGAATATAACAGAATTTAATTTCCAAATTCATAGTTTGGATTCTGAAACTCATGTTCTATTGTTACTTCTCAGCCCTTTTTTTCTGTAGAGAATTCTTTTCATATATATTGCCTAGTGTTAACCTTGAAACTAATCATTTATCTGTTTCAGAAAAAGATAGTTTTTTTCCCCATCCCAATGCACTTCCTTCTAAAAGAGAGAAAAAGGTTACTTGTGATTCATACTTTGCATGGATAGTTCAAGGAACTTCTATACTAACTTAAGTATTAACATTTAATGTTAGGTTTATTCTTGATTTCCTCAAATAATAATGTCCCCAACATATGAAAGGAGAAAATTGAAGACATAGTCCTTAATAAATTACTAACTTGAGATAAAGACTTATTTTGATAAATGATAGTACCATTAAGGAAGGAAATTATAATGAGCAGCAGAAATCTTAAACTTAAGATAATTCTTAAGGATCAAGCTGTGTTAGACATAAAATTTGGCCGTTCGTATAGCCTCCTTCATATTTACTGTTTGTATGTTTAGTCACTCATTGTTGTGATCCACACTATTGTGTGTTGATTTTCGTCTGTTCTGTTTGGCTCTTTGCTGTGGACTTTTAGGACCAACTAATCCTTTTCTATCCAACCTCGCTTATCTTAATAAAACCTAAGATGATATTGAAGTATGTAATTCTATGACTGTTTTAAATTTGTGAGTACTCACAGATAACATTCATCTGCATAGTTGTTGACTGTATACAGGGTTACTTTTGAACACACAGAGTTTATATATCATAGAGATACAAAAATGGTTATTTCTTCACTTAAATTATTGATAGCCAATTGAAGTGCTTAGCACTTAACTTATATTTAGTTCTCCACAAATAAAACAACTCAGTTTTGTAGAAGAAGTGCTTAGCACTTAACTTATATTTAGCTCTCCACTAATAAAATTACTTAACTTTGTAAAAGAAATAATACATGTTTTAGAGAGGCAAAGATTTTTACCATGTACTAAGTGATGAGTATTTGATTTTTTTTCCTTAACTAGGTATTTAATAGTTCTAATGGTTACTTTTTAGTTATATCTCGAAGTTTTTTTTGTTGTTGTTGTTTTTATGGTTGGGTTTATTTAGCAGAAACACATATATATCCTTTTATTATATAGTTGCTTGTATCAGCATCTAGGCAAGGCAATAATGATTAATTTTTCTATACATACTGTATTTTTTTTCTTAGGAACGAGTGGGGCTTCACAAACAATAATTAGTAATAAAATAGTTAACTTTAGTTATTGGGAGTTTCCGTTTTCTGGGTGTTCTTTTCTCCTGCTGTCCCCACCTATATATATTTTAACAGCAATTTTAGAGCTATTGGGCCATCTATCAACTTCTAATCTTTTGGAGAGTTATAAGCAGTATGTTAAAACTAAATAGCTTCGTGATTTTTCTTTCTTAAGCCAGAAACATTTGAAGGAAACCCCTAAGCTAAATATGATGAGGATAAAGTATTTGAGTACAGTAATCTTCTGATGTGTCAGTACAATTGCCAAAGCAAATAAATAAAACAACTATTTTTCACTTGATTATCTTATTTATTCTATTGACCAGTTGATGCCCATTTTATCTGTGAAATGTTAGTGAAGCAGCTTAAGCTTAACATTAAGTGTCTAATATTATTGGCTCATTAATAGGGATTTTGATTGGGATTAACTTGTAGAAGAGTCTAGGTACTATAAAGAAAAAAGTGCTTTGAACTCTGAATTGCACTTAAAATAAATGTATTTTTTCCTGTGTTTTCATAGAATTTTCGAAGAAACTTAAAAGTAATTTTCAGTTGATTTGTATTTGAATGATATATGGAATAATTTCGATTCTTCTAGTTAAAAATTTTTTAATATATTTTATTTCATTTTGAGAAACAAAATTGAATAAGGCTGACACAATTTTAATGAGATTAAGAACATTTACTTTCATTTTGGTAATATTGGTTATATTTTATTAGGTATAGTAGTACTTTTTCAATAAGTAGTAATTTTTCAACAAGTAATACTTTTTCAACAAGAATTAGAGTGTCAGATTTCAAAGGGTCAATTTTCCAGTGTTAAGACTACTTACTTTTCTGTTTTTTGTTTTGTTTCGTTTTTATGGTGCTAGGGATTGAACCTAGGTTTTTGCTTGGTAGGCAAGCACTCTGAACTGAGCTACATCTTCAATGATTTTTTTTTCTTCTGAAGTATAGTACCAAATTATAACTTCAAAATAAACTGTAATTTTATTTGGAGGTTATATTCATCCATTGAGTTAATTTCATGTTTTAATATTTTAAGCTATTTATTCATCCATTGATAAGAACATCCTATCTTCACAAAGAAAGTTACTCCAGATTCAGGTGAATAGTCATTTAGAGAAAGGATCCTTATTGTAATACATCTTAGACTGGCATCAAATAAGTTTTCTTAAAGGAACAATATAATATTTGGAGATAATAAGTCTTTCAGACACATTTCTTTAAAAATATGGTGTTAAAGGAAAAGAACAAGACATTCATTGCATTAAGAGAAAACAGAAAGGCAATTATTAGCTTATAGATAATGGTAAAAATATTCATTAAGGTTATCTGCATTCAGAATTGTAGCCTCTATTTTGGCTTCATGCCAATTCCTGTGATATATATTTCTATTAATTTAATGCTATATTCTGAGAACAGTTATATATAGAACGCTTATTTAAAAAAACTCAGTTGCCTCATTTAAAATATATATTTGAACCACTATGTTTTTGAAAAACATGTGTCCAGACATGTGTGTTTTTATTTTCTACATTCAGATTGCCAAAGGAGATAAATCTGGAAAATATGAACTAAAGATAATGCTGTGTTATATAATTGTTGACAATATACACTCAAATAACCAATACAGGGTTGGTTTTTTTTAGCTCATTCTGCTTATTCTGTTTTCACCGGCTATACTACCTTGTATCTTGTGTTGATTTAGCCTCCCACTCCTTTCTCCTATTCAAAATAACATAATGGTTTTTACATATAGATGACATATATATTAAAATGAAAGTAATACTGCTTGATGCTAAATTAATCATAAAAAATATAGACTGGATACGGGAATTAGGTAGTTGTTTTCTGTAGTTGAGTAAGCGTTAGAGCTCTGGAACGAGATTGTGTTTGAATCCTGTCTCTATCACTTAAATGTCATATTGTGAAGGAAATCTGTTTTTTTTTTTTTTTTTCCCATATGCCACCTTATAGGATTATCATGTGAATATGAGGTAAAATATAGAAAACACTCAGAAATAAGCCTGGCAAATAGTAAACACTCAAGTGTTAAAACTATATGTGTGTATAATATTATAAATGGTAAATCCAGTTGAATCATGATGTATGTGTATTTTTTTCCCCTTAGGTTATCATTAAATGTAAAGGAATAGTTATAGGTTATTACAGGGAATTTGCTAAAATCTAAAATTATAAATAATAAATGACAAAGACTCTATAAAGTCTATTTAGACCAAGGGTCATCAAATGGGCCAGGCACTATTTGATTTTATAAATAAAACTTTACTAGAACACAATCATACACATACATTTATGTATTGCTTGTGGCTATTTTTGCATTATAATGACAAATTGAGTAGTTGTTAGAGACCTAATGGCCTAAACAGCCTAAAATATTTATTATCTGGCCCTTTGCATACCCTTGCTAATAGACTCCTGGAACTACGTAGGCCTCTAGAGGCCAGTTGAGAATATTTTTATCCCTATGCACCTTCTGACCTCAATTTGAGACATGATTGCCCATGGTCTTTGTATGAAAGGTGTGCATATCCAAACTATCTGTAATGTTTAAAAATAAAATCAGATACCTAGGCTCTGAATCACACCAACTAATTTAAAATTGGGGGGTATTGAGTTTGTAAAGAACTATATAATTTATTAAAGTTCCCAAAGAAGACTGATATTATCCTTGCTGACTAAAAAAGCCTCAGAGACTACTTCAGAATAAATTAATGATGGGCCCTTTTAGACCAGTGAGGCTCCAGTTTTGATGTAAATAGTTTCTGCTTCACTGGATTATATGCTTAGTGTGGCCTAAATATATGCTTAGTGTTTAGTTAAACTTTTTTTTTCCATATATTTTAAATCTTGACAATACTGGTCTTTCTGCTTGTCTCTTGTATTGTAGCAGTGATTAGGTACAACATGTGGTAAGTAGAGGATTTTATGCTTCTGTCTTCATTTAGAAATTAGTGGGCAGGGAGGGGACTGGGAAAGTTTTCTCTGCTCTGAGGAGAATCGGTTCAAGAAAAAGGACAGAGATAGTCAAGGAAAAGTGATTTAAGCAGAAAGAGCTTTTCCATAGTTACATAGTAAAAATATATGGTTTGTTCTGATGCTGACACTATATTTACTCTATTTTGAAATAATTTCTGTTTAATAAAAGAACTTATGCATGAGGATGCTTTAAAAGGAATCAGAATATTTGAAATGGTAGTACATTGACTAAGAAAATAGCTTCAAACATTTTGTAATGACCAAATTTTAGTCCAATATAGAGTGAATCATCTGCTGTAGAAGACTCAATTAGCATGGCTTAGAGTGACTATTTTTTTTTTTTCCTTTTTCATTCTCTAAAAAATGTAGGCATTTCAGTAGAACCATGGAGGAGCTGGTTCACGACCTTGTCTCAGCCCTGGAAGAGAGCTCAGAGCAAGCACGAGGTGGTTTTGCAGAAACAGGAGACCATTCTCGAAGTATTTCTTGCCCTCTGAAACGCCAAGCCAGGAAAAGGAGAGGGAGGAAGCGGAGGTCTTACAATGTTCACCACCCGTGGGAGACTGGTCACTGCTTAAGTGAAGGCTCTGATTCTAGTTTAGAAGAACCAAGCAAGGACTATAGAGAAAATCACAATAATAATAAAAAAGATCATAGTGACTCTGATGACCAAATGTTAGTGGCCAAGCGCAGGCCATCATCAAACTTAAATAACAATGTTCGAGGGAAAAGACCTCTATGGCATGAGTCTGATTTTGCTGTGGACAACCTGGGAAACAGAACTCTCCGCAGGAGGAGAAAGGTGAAACGAATGGCTGTCGATCTCCCACAGGACATCTCTAACAAACGGACCATGACCCAGATGCCTGAAGGTTGTAGAGACCAGGACATGGAAAATGATAGAGCTTACCAGTATCAAGAATTTACCAAGAATAAAGTTAAAAAAAGGAAGTTGAAAATAATTAGACAAGGACCAAAAATCCCAGATGAAGGAGTAGTTTTAGAAAGTGAGGAAATAAGCCAGACCAATAAGGACAAAATGGAATATGAAGAGCAAAAAGTCTCAGATGAGCTCATGAGTGAAAGGTGACTTTTATGTTTTCTAAATATAAAAATATTTGTCTACAGTTTGTGGTTGAATGTGTTTTATATTTTAATTAATTCTATTTTAAAATAATTATAAATTGTAATGATGATAGTGATATTACTATTTAACTGTGATTATATTTCCTAATAATTTATGATGTTTTGCACCAGGCAAAATTGCTTATTTGATTTACACGAAGTCTTCTGATTGTGTTATAATGACTTAATTTTCAGCTACAAAGAGAAAAGGAAATGGATTTTCAGTGGGAAAGAATGTACTTTTGAATCATAGCACATTTGTAACTCTTAGAATTGGATATATAATTATTTATTTGGTTAACTATAGAGTTTTAGCCTTTGGTGCTTTTTAAAGTACATGATTCATTCTGATTCCTGAGAATCAAAAGTTTATACCACTATGACATACAAATGGTTTGATATTTAAAGTATTAGCTTGGTAGGTATTCTGATTATTGATAATTATAAAACCTAATTTATGGTCTATGTGATTTTGTCATTAGAAAAGTGGAAGAAGCAACAATCCTTTGGCAGTTAGTCTAATACATCCATTCTAGGAAGCAGGTGTACCACTATGATAATTGTTAAATCCTATTTTTACAGCATCAAAAGGTAAGTGATAATTTTGATTTCACACAGAACTGATGCTACTTGCAAGAAATGAGATGTTGACACTGTTCATCCTTTTAGGTGTATGTCCTTAAAACCAAATGCCTATGAGTCAGAAAAAAAACATTCCTTATATATGGGCTGGGAAAAAGTATTTGATTTTTAATTTGTAGCATCAGGTCATTTTTATAGGATATGGAAATCATTTTTATTCTTGTTGTATTTGTAAATATGATTACAGACCTGACTACAACCTGGCAAGAGTTTATGGAATGGTTCTTTAATTAGACATAGTTTCTATTTATGTTATTATTCTGAAGAAGTAAAATTTACTTAAAGTGAGAAAAATATTTCAGGAAGGCTTTGAAAAGTTTATGAAATCTTTTCTTTCAAGAAAGTTGTGATTTTTTTATATAGAAATGGGAATCATTTGTACCTTACTATTGGGCCATTGTGACTGAGGACCACTCAGTCTGTCATAAAAGTAATTATATTATTGCTCAGTTGCTGCGGGGAGAGTGTGGTGGTGGAGATAACATTCTTGATTCTGGGTTATTCACACTTAGATTGTGCAAACCCCTCCTGTTTTTTTTTTTTTTTTTTTTTTTAATGTCTGCCTTTTATTGATCTGTTTCGTAGGACATCTGCCTGGGAACAGAATTGAGATGAAAATCCTATCATTTATTTTCCTTCATTGTAAAAAAAAATATTTGAGTAATCACTAGGTATGATCAGGTTACCCAGAAGTTAACAACCCAGGTTCAAGTCTTCAAATAGAATATTTTCATTCCTGAACAAAATAAAAAATATGTGCTTGCTCTGATTTTAAACTTTTCTGTAAAATGATTTTTCTCTTGCCATTTAAGAATTAGCTACAGTTTTCACTTAACATATTTTCCTAACACATGTAGATGTTTTTTGAGACTACATCCAAAGTTTTCCTATTATAAAAAAGCTGTCTATATGTTTTCTTGGAGCTGACTTGTAAATAAGAACAGCATTACTCTGTGTGTTTTATCTGTGTGGGTCTCAAACTTAACAAACATTTCATAAACTACTATGTAATATTCACTGGTACCTGAATAATAATTCAGACTCTCCTCAACAGCCTCCTGGCTGAATTAGCCAAATGCTGAAATGGAATGTGCTGTGAGGCAAAACTTCCTAAAGAAGCTGCACTAAAAGCAAGAACTAAAAGTTGTTCACAAATGTGCAAAGTGAAAAGGAGAGAAGGAAATAACATCCCTGATTATAATGAACAGCTTATTCAAATGCATGAATTCTGACACCAGTATGGTACATTTGGAGAAATGTTTGTAGTTCATTATTATTAAAATATAAATATGGCTACAGCCATAACATTTCTTGAAGGCCCGTGTGCAATGGTAAATAGTTTAGATTTCATCATGTAGGTAATGAGAAGTCAGTGAAGAGTTTTTAGCAGTGGAGAAACTCGATTAGGTTTACATTTTATCAAGATAACATAATTTTGGCAGCATTGTTTTGTTTACCTTTGACTGAACCTCCAGTCTGTCCAGTAGAAAATGAATTATGGCTGTAGTAGTAGAGGAATATTTGAGAGTATTAGAGAATAATCTTAAAAGGTAGAATCAATGGGAGGTAGACTGTGTTTGGAAGGGTAATGCTCTCAGATAATGCCCAGGTTTCAGTCATAGAAAAATGGTAAGTGAACAGATCAGGAAAAGGGATTTGTATTAGTGTACATACATTTATTCAGCAAACAGTCATGCAGTATATTCTTATATGAATACTAGTAATAAAAATGAAACCAAAAAAAGAGATGTCCTTGAAGATTAGTTGGAATGACCATCAGCATCTGAAAATAAAAAGCCTTTCTTCCCTTTAAGTTCTTGTTCTGAATTATTGAACAAGATGTACTTGATGTAAATGGAGCAACAAGCTAGATATCATGTAAATAAGGATATATGTTATAAACATAAATGTAAAAACTATCTCAAAGTAGGAAAAGAATCATTTAGGACTAAAAGCTGTTCTTAGGGAATTTTGATTTCCTTCTATCTTTAAGAGAGTGAGCAGGTTGGGGAGAGGAGAAAACTATACATACCAATTGGAGACAGAACGTAAACAAAAGATCCGAACTGATGATGGGAAAAATTTAGAGAGAATCCCACCAATAGAAATCCTTGAAATCTAAATTTAATCCAATAGGTAATAGGTAGTAATTTCAGAGTTTTAAATAGAAGAATCTTTTCTTATAATTTATGTGTGTGCATGTGTGTATATTAAAAACTTTTAAAAAATAGTTTTAAATTTATAGAAAAATTGCAAAGACAGTTCATAGAATTCATGTATATCACATTCTCATATATCCACACCCAGTTTCCTCTGTTGTTAATATCATATGCCTTATTGTGGTATCCTGTTAACAGTGATGGAACCAGTATTGATACATATTTTAAGTAAACTCCATATTTTATTAGCATTTCCATTGCTTTTATTTAAAGTCCTTTTTCTGTTACAGGGTGTCACATTACTTTTAGTCATCCAGTTATATTTGCAAAGATCAACCTGACTATATGTAGAATTAATTAGCATGGCATAAATCTGAACTCAGATTAGAAGATCATGGTACCAAAAAAAAAAAAAAAAAAAGTAGTACATTGATTCACCGTCTATAAATCTGTACCCTGAAAAGCTGTGAAAAACTCAGTTGTTTGTGACAGACTTTGACCTGTATTTAATGTGCATATTTATTTGTTCAATTGAAAATATAATAGGTTTGATTATGGAATGCTACCCTAAATTTTAGAGTATGCTTTTCTAAAATTTGAGTAATTTTGAATTTGCCTCAAGTTTTTAGAAAAGAAATTGTGCCCAGAGGCATGGATAATGACCTTCATTTGAGTTATGTTGATAGAGGCAACAGGAAAAACAGGAAAATGATCAACAGTAGTTTGAACTTGCTAAGCAGAAAGATAAAGTTTCTGAAGTGGGTTTAATACTATAATATCACTATGCATAGAAAGCATATATTTTTAAATAAGTCAATATGGATTTGATGCCCTTGAAAATATTTTATTACCAATTTTATACTATAGGGAGCTTCATGTATTCACTTAATTTGAAGAAAGTTAAAAAGATTCTAATTCAGTGCTCCTTGGAAGAATGTGCCTCTTGACAAATGCCTATACTTTTTGTTAATATTTACATTTTAAAAGTAAGTAAAACTGAAAATTGATATTTTTTTTCAGAAAATATGTGGATTTAAATCTCATCAATAATTTTAACCTTAAGCATCTCAGATTAGATATTGTATAACAAGTTAAGATGTATCTTTTTTTAATAGATTACATTGTTCTAGATGTTAATGGAAAAAGTATTTTAATTAAAAAATAATCACCTGGGGGAAATTTACTGATTGGTTAAAATAAAGAACTATAGTACAAAGAAAAGTACATGAGGATTTAAAAAAAAAGTTCTTTAGCAGCCAATATTTTAAACTAACTAGACTTATCATATAAGCTTTATCCTGTTAGAACTAATAATGACAGTTTGTTCTTATTGGTCAAATATTTGTTTTATTCTGTGTGTTGCATGTATCTCATATTCTCCAACTCCTATAGAAGTAATGAGAACCCATGTGATTTTTGTACATGCCCTTCTTAATATTGGTAATATACATTTTGTTGTTCTGAGTGACCTTAACTTTGATTTAGTGGATTGTCACCATCTTAAACTTTTTTCTCCATGTGAAATAATGGAGTTGTTGTGAATTCTTAAGGAATGTCTTTTCTAGAATATTTGCAAATGTGGAAATGAAAAGTAATTTCATCCTAGGCCCTTGTATTTCATGTACTGAAGAAAATCTTAGCCTGTTTTTGATTGAGACTTTTCTCATCTTATCAAGCAGTGGTGTTTCAGGAGCAAGCTGAATTGCACGGCATAAGAAAGGAGCAGTGAGCATTTGATGAAAGCAGATAATAAAATGCATCAATTGTGTCAGCACCTCGTTGCAGTCACATCTGGCTTACTGTCAGGGTCCCATTAGATTCCTGTGGTTTTATGTGCCAAAAATAATATGCTCTGTAGTTAATGGAACCAGGATATTTGCAGTTTGATTAAAAAAAAAATCATCTTATTTTCTTTCAGATCTTTGTCAGGCTTAAGTTCCATCTCTGAGCTGCCATGTCTCTTTAAAATTTTACGACTGAGAGATCAATTGTTCTTTTGATCTTTTTTTTTTTTTCTTTCTTTTCTTTTCTTTTTTTTTTCTTATTACAGTGATTCCAGCAGTCTCAGCAGCACTGATGCTGGTTTGTTTACCAATGATGAGGGAAGACAAGGTACTGAAATGTGATTTTCTTCTCTTTGGAAAAGCATCTTCATTTTAAAGTTGTGCTTATTACTGGTTATTTCATAAGATGAAAACTGCAATCCATATACATCACACATTCTGCTTAGTGGACTGGGGTTTAGTGTTGTCCTATCTTCCTGACCTAAAGTAATTGATTATGCCTCAAAACTGGTATGTGGCACTAATAATATTAAGGGAGGATTATCTTCCTTGAGAAAGCTTTACATACCTCAGTCTGTTCAATTTTGTCTCTTTGAGAAAGTTTGCAAGACACTGGTTCTCATTCATCACCTGATTCCAAATGCATTTAAAAATATGAATACCCTAACAAGGGGATAGGATTAATCTTTAATGGGATTAATTTCATTTTAGTCCAGTCTGCTCTTAACTGTTTCCCTTTATAAACTCCATACAAATCATGAAATAAAGCTTAATACCTATGAATACTTATCACAGTTTCCTCTCTTTAGAATCTTGATCAATCATCTAAATGATGTTATGAAAAAAAGGATGAAGTAATAGCTGCCCACACTTTTTTCTTAATCTGTTCATCTTCTTAGCAATATATATATAATGTATGTGGAACACTTACTCTTTTTATAAATCAGATGTCCGAAAAAAGTAGATACATAAATATTTTAAAGATCATAGACTTTTAAAAATGAGACTTTGCCTGAAATATGTTTGAACCTTGGAACAAAATGAGCTTAACTATCTTGAATATATACCTAAATCTTATTATAGATTTTTTTTACTCAGAACTCTATTATAAATTTTGATATTAGTAATAAAACTTTTTTAAAAAAATAACTTTTGACAAGATTATCATTGGAAAACAAGTGACTTGTAGTGATATGCTAACATGTATTGTGAACTACTATATTTCACATTGTTGAGTGCTTTCTAACATTTAATTTACTTTAAATTCTCAAGTCATTCTTTGAAAACCCTATTAGTTCCTGTGGGGGTTTTTTTTTTTTTTTTTTTAATGAGGAAACCTACACTAAAACAGTTGAAGTATAACAAAATACTAAAATTCTAATTGTTTTTTCTGACTCCTTGCCCTTGTTGTTAATCAACAGCTATTTTCCTTTTAAGAATAAAGTTGTGTATCACATAAAAAAGAAAGTGACTTCATTTTTCTAGAGTAAGTAATACTTTCTTGATGGGAATGAAGATCTACAGTAGTCAATTTCAAGTGACTCCCTGCTTTTTATTGTGTTCAAGAAAACTGACATGACATTGTAATGTAACTCTTATTAACTCAGTACTCAGTAACTAAGTATTGATATGTAAGTGCTATGAATTATGCTGCTTTGAAAAATCTATTTTATTAATTCCTCAATTGAAACAAACTAGTGACTTTAGTTTTAATTGCTTTTAATTTTTCACCTACTCCATTTGAAACACAGCTGATTTCTCATAAAATCATTTTAAATTAAAACTTAATATGGTATTGTTCGTTTGTTAATTTTTGGTTTTCAAAATCAGAAAATTTTTTCTGTAAAGGGAAAAAGTTTACGGGTCTCTTAGACCCTTTTAGATAACAGAAATAACAGTGACTTCATGAACAGAAGATTAATGAATCTCAGGTCATATTCAAAATGCTGTTTGTTTCTTTAAAATGCATTCTGTATGTTTATCTCTTCATATGGCTCTTAATAGTAAAAAAAAAAAACAAAACCCAAATATTGGTTCTTACCAACTCCCCATTTCAAACTGAATTTTAAATTGATATTCACTATTCTATAATTACATTCATGAATATTCAAAGAAGTCAACATTACTGAGTAATGTTCTTTTTAAAAAATATTTTGCGTGTAGATGTTAGGTCTAGTTTCTTCAGAAACTATGGTATTGTCAGTTTTCATTTAAAATCAACTTTTTCAAAACTATTTCTTAATGAACTTAATTGGATTAATTTCATTTAGTCACATCTGTTCCTGATTGTTTCCCCTTTTCCACTACATACAAATCATGAAATTAAGCTAATTATATACCATTATCAGCTTCAAAGAACAGGTTCTATAGTTTTATACCTTTTAATTCCTGGTAGGCAATTAAGGGTTGTCTTTCTCTTAATGTGGAATGAGTAGTTACTTAAATACATTTTCCTACTTTTTTGCCAAAGGATTAGCCAGTTTAATATTGTTTTTCTCATTTTAAAAATTGGTTGTGAAATAGTATTTTGTGTATTCGTTGATGGCAATGGTTGTCCTAGTATTGAGAGTGTTTCTTAAGTGAAGCTTGGTGTAGAGTAAAAAGGTTTGTTTTTAGATGATATGTATGATTGCCAGATTGAATTCAGGATCCATTGTTAAATTTGAATTGTAGATAAAAAACAACTTTTTAGTGCAACTGTGTCCCATGCAGTACTTGCACATTCTTATACTAAAAATTTAGGACAAGTACTACATACTTATATTCATATTTACCTGATGTATTTTTATTATCACACAACTCAAATTACATTTTTTGGATGCTAAAATTGAATTTTGGGGGAAAATCATTTGTATTTTAACAGGTGATGATGAGCAGAGTGACTGGTTCTATGAAAAGGAATCAGGCGGAGCATGTGGTATCACTGGAGTTGTACCCTGGTGGGAAAAGGAAGATCCTACTGAACTAGACAAAAATTTACCAGATCCTGTCTTTGAAAGTATCTTAACTGGTTCTTTTCCTCTTATGTCGCATCAAGGCAGAAGAGGTCAGTAGCACTTCCTTATTGGTGGATACAGTGAGCTTGTGGTTAGTCTTATGATATTCATTGAAAGAGGTTAGGGTAAAATATTAGAGAATGTAAACATGTGCTGTAAATATACATGCTGAAAGTGTACTAACCTACTCAGTTTTTAAAATTATTAGAAAAATTTACTAGCTTTTATGCTAGACTCATTGTGAGAATATTGTTGGGAATGTGAATTGAAAGAAAAGTGTTCTGAATGTTACTCCTTAAAGTCAAAACACTAGACAGTTGAGTGCTGGCTGCGTTAGAATCCTGCTAGCCATGGCCTTTGTTCTTTTAAGGTGTAAGTTTTGCATTTTTCCCCCCAGTAATATTCATGGTGTTCACCTCCACCAGCAACTTACTCTTACCTCTCTATTGATAGGATCTCCTATGCACCACTGATCATAGTATCTTCTAAACTGATTACTTTGATTTTCTAGGTTTCCAAGCCAGACTCAGTCGCCTTCATGGAATGCCTTCAAAGAATATTAAAAAATCTGGAGGGACTCCAACTTCAATGGTAGGCATGCCTTTTTTTATTGAATTGTCATGTTTGGAAATGTTTCCATTTCTATGGAATAAAAAGCCACATCCTCATCCTTTATTTATATTCTAATGTTATACTTAAAAATAATCCATTTTTTTGTAGGCTACAAACTGGACCAGTGAGATTCCCCTATAAACCAAATCTTCTAATGCTAATAAATTAGTTACGTTTTGAACATCTGGGGAATGACATTCGAGGGAACCTGGCTCCTGTCCTCTTCCCTGGAGGAATATCATTGAAGTGAGAGCCTCTTTGATGCAAAGATGGGGCTGTTTTTGCTGGAGGACTGGTATTCTTCCTTTTAGTCAGAAATGAACCTGATTGGGGAGGCTTTCTAGAGATCTAGGTTGGCCCAGGGTGGATAGAAACTACTGTAAATTTTACATATTTTTCTCTTTTATGATTTTTCTTACATTGAATCCATTTATGTATTACTTGCTTTGCCAAAATGCTAACAAAAGCTAGAAAATTAAAAACTTCCAATTTAACCTAAGTAGTCCTTAATGTTTATATTGTTACGAGTTAAGAATTAATTTTTACATATCTGGTTGTTGTAAATAAAATAACGTGATGCTTTGACACTTATGGTTAATTTTAGAGAAGTCTTCTATAACCAGCATTATTTAAAATATTTGCATTTTACTCAGGGTATTATAACAAGGGCTAAGATAAGTAATAGGTGAGGTTGATAACCTTTGCTAGAGTTTGTATTTTGTTCAGTTTCCTTTCTACTTGGATAATCTGCTCTGTATTGCAAACTCATTGTATTCTATAGTATAGTTTTCATTGTACTGCAAAAATCATCCTACTTCTTAAACTAAGCACAGTGATAACTAGTCTGCACTACTAGAATCACTTAATATTACCTTTCATTTGCAATTACCTTTTAAGTGATCTGTTTTGTCTGATACCTGAAATACATAAAAATTATTTTGACTTAGAGCTTAATGAAATCATGTGAAACCTAGTATTTTAACAAATACTGTGTGACTCTGAATCATTGTCATTTCTAAAAGTGAGAGCTGCTTGTTCATCCTTAGAATGGCAGACCATATGTGTCACTGTGAGTTTCAGAAATACTTGCATGAGCTCATTTTCACCAAGCAGGGGGGAAATGTAACACTGCTATTGATGGTTAATTTAGACACTCTACTAAGTTCAGGCCATTTGAGTTCCTTTAAATGGTTTTATTAAAATGATTAATATTTTTATTAAATTCTAATAACTGATAAAGTCAATGTGATTTAATATGTGTATTTTTATATTGTATGGATTCATTGTTAATTCAGCATTTAATGGCTTACTTAAATATGATTGGAAAAGAAACTTAAAGTTGACATTGCTATTACTTAAAATTATTACAATCAGAAAGACTTTAACAAATAAATTAAGCAGAAATTGTGATGTCTCCTTTTAGACTACTTGTCTAAACTGGAGAGATTTAAAAACGATAAAGTACAACTTTGAGTCTCTTTACTTTTGCATATTTAAAGTGATATCTAAAGGTATAATATTTGGTGTTTAGTAATTGTAACTAAGCTTTTTTGTGCTATGTCTTTGGAGTGAAAATTCGTGTGTGTGTTTTTTTTCTGAATTGCATAAATGATTTTATTTTATTTTGTATAATGACTGTCTTTTAGATCTGAATAAGTCATTTTAAAACCTTGGCCTATGAACTTTGCCTTACCAATCATGAATCTAGATGAATGCTATCTAGTTCTTGGTTCAATTTTACCTATTTTTATTTTTGGTTCACTGCTTGCTTGAGCATAGCTGGGATTTGTAGCCCATTTTCTAGGCTTATTGCAATCTCACTGTGGTATTTTATAGAAGCTATTACAACTGATAGGCTAGCTTCATGGTATTGATGATACATGGCTTAACCATACTAAAAGCTGCCTTCCCTCTCTAAATTGTAAAAAGGTGATTAAGTTTCACTTGATGGAGATAATACTATATATGTGTGTTTATCATGGAACTAGTGCATTAGGCCATGAACTGCTTTTCTGGTCTACATTTTTTTGTATTCAAAATTTTACTGAAGACATGGACTCCTTCAGGTTTTCTTTCTCTCAACCCTGAATTGTCCTTGTTTGAATTTTTAAGTACTGTAATTTTTTTTTTCAATAAAATCTTTGATTTGGGCAAGAAAGGTAAGAGTTCCAATTTGTGATTATACTTTTCTTATTTCCTTTGCAAAGTTTTTGTTGTTTTGCTCAAATTACATATAACTAACTAGTTTAAAAGTCATGATCTTTTCACAAAGCAATCATCTTTAAACAGTAACCATGACTTTTAGTAATAAGAAATGAAATTTAATTACATTAGACTGTCACACTGGAAAGCCAAATTGCTTTTAAGAAGAAATTAATTTTCTAAGCGAAGTCACACATGAATAGCTGCAACCCATTAGACAGAATGGCAATAGAGGGTTTCTTTTTCTTAAGCAGATAAGTAATGACTGCATATTCATAGTGATATAGTATTTTTGAAGGAAATGACAGCAAGAAAATCTCTTCCTAAGAAGGCAAAGTGAACATTTTTTGGGAAAAACATTTTTAATTGAATTACAGTTGTTTTTTCAATGTTCTGTGATATCATTAATATTGAATTAGGAAATGCCGAACCATTGCCCCTAAGGGAAAGCTAGGAATAGGTTACTGGGAGCCTTTGGTCAAACCTTTTTTTTTTTTATCAGCTAATGAATGTATAACCTTGCTTATGTGTGTTTGTGATTAGAGACATTTGCTGTATATCATTGGGTCATTAACATTGAATTCATGGCCAATACCACTGAAACTGAGGCCTAAACAAAGCTTATCTAACACATGTTGTATCCAGAAGGCTCACCACAGCCTTCTTGTGCTTAGTAATGACAGGCTGCACTTCTCAACGCTGTACTTAGGGACCATTTAAAACAGTGAAATCACCAACAAAAAGCACAAAAAATACAATAAACCTGGCATTAAATAGACAGCAAGAAGATCATTTTTTACAATATGATAGCCAAAACAAGAAGGTATATAAAGCCACCTTGTTGACCTTAGCTGGGAATATGCATGTGTGTTTGGAAACTCAGATTTTTTACTATTGTGCACATGTCCATGAATAACTGTATAACTCTGTGATTATTGATTTGGAGTTAGAAATGAATCTTAGCCATTTGGAAATTTGCAAATGCAGAATCTGCAAATAGGAACAAGGATTGACTGAATTCAGTTTTATAGAAAGCAAAGTGGTTTTGTAGAAAATTTACAGATTTTGAAATTAGACCTTTATGAATCCATTCTCTGGTTCTTCTTTTTACTTTTAATTTCATTTTGAACTTCAATTTCTTTGAAAATTTAATATGGACAACACTTAAAATGTGTTGTAGGGTTTAAATGAAATTATGAATACCTAATGGACTCAGTCCCATCTTTGGCACATAGTATATGTTAAGGAAGTTATAGTTACTATTAATATTAGTAATAATAGAAATATTAAAGACAATAGCTGATGACTTAAATTACATTTGTATCATGAGTCAAAGAGCAGAATTTTGGATATTAAATATTTCGGTTCATATTTTATATATAACTTGCCTTCATATTGATTTGAATACTTTATGTTACAGCCTTTTATGTTTCTTTTATACCTCATTTATATGTGAGCTGACCCCTGTCTTTAATATGGTCTTTTAAGAATTTTTTGAGTGAATTTTAGGTTGACAATCACAGTACTAAATCTCAAAACTTAATTGCAAACTTAAAAACCCATCTAAACTCTTTATCTCTCCTCTCTTCCAGAGCATTAAACTGTTCATTAGTAAAAAGACCCATACTGTTTAGGAGGTTTGGGTCCAGATTGATCTGATTTTTAAAAATAATTGTGTCTATGTATATGAGGGGTAAATGCAGACAGAGTCCTGAAAATTTAATGTTGATTGGAACTACTACTATTTTCCTTCTGGTGAAACAAAACATCAGTTTTTTTTGGAGTCCAGCTAACTAGCCCTTCATTCTCACCTTTGGAGGAATTAAGCAACTGATAATTAATTCCAAGAAATATCCTGAGGCCATTATTCAGAAGATTCAGCCTTTATCTCTTACATTTATAGAATTGTTTCAGTAAGTACAGTTCATACTAATAGGGCCAAAATGATGTCAGACTCAGTTGTGCGATACAGTAATTTAAAGTGAATTTAAGTAACCTTCTTTAAGCATAGCATTCTACTTAGCCAGGGTATCCTACTAAGTAAACATCTTAATTAATCGATGTTTCCTGCAGGTGAGAGATTTTTAAAATTCTTTTTTGTTTGGAAGTAAGTGATGACACAACAGGTATTACATTTGTCCACTGAAAATTAGCATTCAAATTATATCAGCTGTTGAAAGGTCAGCAAATGAATGACTCAGCTTAACATACAGTACTTAAAAGCCAACGTGAGTATTATATAAAAAGTTGTAATAAGTTACAGGGTCTTGTTTAATAATTTTATAATTGCCTCAGTACTATTTTTGTATGGTGGGAAGGAGAATAGAGACTTTTATGTCTTTTTTTAATACCTCATTTATATTCTTGCTAGCTCCTATTTTTAATATGGTCTATGAATGGGGCCTGTTATGATGTTGCTGGCATTTGTTTATTCTGCCAAAGGAGTCTTTTTAATTAACCTTAACTTATACATATTTATCAAGTTAAAATAATCTGGAAGAAATGTGGAGATTAACCCTTAATTTGATTTGTCATTCTGTGCAAGTAAGCATGATGTTTACATTCCTAATAGAATGGACCAGAAAAACATAATTTATATCTGTTTGGAAATCTTGAGTCAGTTCATTCTGTAGGAAAGAAGGAATATTGTGGGTACTTACTTCTATGAAGTATAAAGAACCAGGATTCCATGATTGATGTGTTGATAATAATGATCATACTGTACTGATTTTTCAACCTTGTTTTCTTTTTCCTTAGGATTCTAGAGTCAGAATATTTAGTCTGATTTACAGCCTTTTATGGCAGAAGAACCATTGAAAATTGTAGTTGATTCAAAGAAGGAAACTACATATATTTAAGAGAAATGAGCAATTCCATGATAGAAAACAAATCTAAAATTATTTTTAAAAATATAGTGTGTGTCCTCAACTAAAATTTGACCATGTAGTTACCAAAAATTTTCAGTGGAATTTGGCAACGAAATGCTTTATTATAACCCTTGTACATTGATACTTGTTTGTTTCCTGAAAACATTTTTTTTGAATGCTTGAAAATATAAGAAGATTGTATATTTGGAAAATTTTTATATTTTAAATATATATGGTGTATGTTCTAATACATTACTATATATTTTAATTTAGTTTTCATCTTATCTCATTCCATGGATTCCTTCTGTGGAATCTCAGCTTGAGATCCAGATATCACATTAGAAAGAGGATCCTCTTTCTTTTTTGTTAAGACTTATTTTAAGATAGTTATTTTGTATCATAGAAAAGTACAAATTAATAGAATTATAAATATTTCTTTTTAAATAGACGTTTTAATAGTATCCCTTGTTTGATTTAAGATTCTCTATTTTGATGTGATTCACAACTTTATATTTCATATCTCATATATATATATTGAATATTCACTGTCATTTGAAAATATGAATTTAACGGTTTTTCATTGTTTCATGAAAGAGTACAAATATTAACATTAATATTCTTATTTTGTTACACTTTACTAAAAGTAGAACAGATGTACAAAAATTTAAAGGGAACAGATATGATAGAATATTCATTTTCTATTATTATATTCTCCATATTTATTTTTTAAATCCTTTAGGAAAAAACTGTCTAAAAATATATTCAACCTGATATTTTAGTGTTACGAAAATTGACCTCTAATTTTTTTTCATATATTTAAAATATTGTGTTTCCTTCTCTGATAACATAGTACAAGTTTGACTTCATATCTTTGCATTTGGGTTTCAGATGCTTCAAAAATGTAGAACTGTACAAAGTGAATGTTAGTAATGATAGCAAACATTTCTAATGATGCTTAGTAGTGCTGTCTGCACTTTTTTCTATGTGCTGTTTATATATATTTAATATTATTAATATCCCAATAATGTATATTAACATTTACAACTTAAACGTTTGTTCCCCTTTGGTAAGCCAAAATTAATGCAATTTGGAAATTTCTTTACATTACTATCATGTCACTAATAAATATAAATAAATAATCTTCCCAAAGTAGTCTTCATTTCTGTTTACAAAATGCTATTGTGATTATGAGTTATTTTGAGATAACCAAAGCATTTTTCACTATCTTGAATGGCGAGCACAATTAAAAGTGTATGCCATAACAAAAATGATAATTAAAATGTTTTAATTCTTCTATTGGATTAAACACTGGAACCCAATCCTACCTTCTGATTCTTCCCTTTGTATGATTCTCTGGTAGTATGTAATTAACTACCTTCTGGCTGATCTTAGCATCATCCATTTCTAGAACCTTCGTGTCTGCTTTCTTGTTCTCAATTTCAACTTGTTCTCCTTGTTTCCCTCCCATGGAACCTCGTTTCAATGGAACTAATCATATTCCCTTCCATGGAAACCTCCCACCTGTTTCATAATTTGCCATATAGCTATCTCATTGCTATCCTTCAACTATGATTGGAATACTCTGTATTTCTTAAGTTCATTTCCTCCTATTTCTTACATAACTTGGCAAAATTCTGAAAGGACATCTTACAGGAGGAAGATGTTTTAGCTGGGACTTCAAGAATGAGTTTGATTTTACAAACTCATTTAGAATGGGAATTGGTAAACAGAAAGGCATGGGCAAGTCTTACGTTTGAAGTAGCAGAGATTATTCTGAAAACTTTAATCCAGTATTGCTAAGATCTGATGTATGCTTTTGTGGAGGGGTATGTAGCAAACAGAGTTTGGCTGTAAAGGTGAATGGAGTTAGGTGATTATGGAGTTTGTAGTTCATTGGAATCATGTGAACCAATGCAATCTCTGATCACACAGAGAGCAGGATAGAAGGTACATTAGGTGGTATATCAAAAGAGTGTAAGCTCCATACCTGTTCTCCCAGTAGGTGAGAACCACAGGCTATACTGAACACTTATATTTTACTGAACCTAATATTCTGATCGACTTTTGACTACCATCTGTTATAGTTTACATGTG